AGAGGGATGTTTTGATTTGAGCAACGTTAATGTTTCATTGTCAAAAGTAGTAATTGAGTCAGTCGAAGACAAAATTCGTATAGCCGAAGTAATATCACTATCAGAAACTTTATTGATTATATATTCACTTTTATTTTGTTTCGTTGGTGGTTTTCTATCTCTGGGGGGAAATATTGAAAGATTGGGGACGTTTTTCATATTCCTCCTAATTATTGAAGTGATGGATTCTTTATATGGTTTTTTGGATGAAGGAATACAAAACGATGTATATGCGAAACACAGTAACTTTTTTAGGAGTCCAAAGAATTTGCTTTAATGCAATTGTCTATTGTATTGTGTTGTGAATGAGTAGTATTTGATTTGATGTATGTATTAATACCACTTTATAATGAATATGTGACTTCTCTTTGTGATCTTTTTTTAATTGACATCTACTTGACAACTGGATAATAATTTACACTAATGATATAACGGGTGTCCCAAATATATAAATATATGTAATACACAACATATTGGCTAAAGAATCAGCAACAAACATCCTGGATGTTTACTCACATTCTGTTTTAGGTAGGATAAATGAGCATTCAATGTTTTGGAAGTGGGATTTTCATTAACGTTTGAAGATTCACTGGTATTTTAACGAAAAGGGATTGAGTGATGTTTTTCCTCATGTGAATGTTAACACTACGCTTCGTTTGGAAAATCCAATTACAAAAACTGCATTCCAAGTTTGAATTGGTTTCAGGACATACAATAATTTCGTTTCCATCTGATTTTCTTGTAGATGACAGTTTTTTTGACTTTCTTGAATTGTCATTTTTCATATTGAGCAATGACAGATTTGTAAATTATATAAATTCACAGCAAATAAATGAATTTCATGTGGAAAATTTGGCAAAACGATATACTTTACAAACATGAACTTCTTGATGATAAATTTTAACAATATTTTCCTCAAATCAATACATAAAAAGGAAATTTTTCATGAGCGTTGAATCTGACACTCAACTGGGTTGAGAAAAAGATGTTTATTGATAGTGTAGTAAATGTGGCACCCACAAAAGTGTTGGACTGTTTAGAAATTGTAAAAGGTTAGTAAAAAATATTTTCAAGATGTATTTCCAAAGCCATTGTTGTATTTTACTGTGTATATTTTCTACGTATCACAAATTAGGACTTAGGAGATTTTTGGTGAATGTAACACAGTATGAATGGGATTTAGATGGTTTTGGACTTGGATGAATGTGAAGATTTTGTTAAGCGAGTGATGATAATTGAGTTATTGTGTTAATTATCTTAGGCAATAGGACATCGAAAGTTGTTAAGGGAGACGTGAAACAGATGATAATAATATATTTTTGTAATTTACAGATGTCTCTTGGCATGAAAATTAGCAGTGGCAAGTAATCACGTTCAGGAGACTACTATAATTATAGTGACAAGGAGTTTTAAACTTAATTAGTAATCCTGAGCTTTTTGAAAACATTCCCGTCGTATTAGAAGAAGATTTGAATTCAGAAAGCGTAAACATCAGACAGCAACAGAATGACGTCATAATTGAAGATTCATTATTGATGCATAGCGGTCAACCACTGGTGGACGTGTCAAATACCATCGGAGAAGCCAAGTACCAAAGTGTAAACTTAGTAAGTAATCCTGAGATTTTTGAAAACATTCCCGTCGTCTTAGAAGAAGATTACACCCAGAAAGCGTTAACAGCTGCCAGCAACAGAATGACGTAATAAGCCAACTAGCAATTTCTTATTTTATAATAGTTGCGGAAACTTTTCAAAGAAACAAATTATAAAACGGCATTTCTCCCAGAAATGTTTTCAATATGTTTATAAAACTGCTATAAATTGGAAATTGGCACCGTTTTATAAAACATTATAGTTATTATCAATATTTTGTAAGGCCTTTTACAAACACTACAAAACAGTTTTATAAACATTTTGGCAGTTACTATAAAATTTGTCAAACCCTCTTAAAAAGTAGTTTTGTAAAGACTTCCCTTACTGCACTTTTGCAACATATTTAAGCGATACTTATAAAATAATCAGAAGACAAATGACAAATTTATAAAACACTTTTATTGCCTACAACTGTATTGTGTTCACCGATCATCTAATACAATCAATTAGCATTTTGGAAGTAATTATAAAATACTAATAAAATAAAACTGTCGCAACACCATGGAATTATAAAACAACTTTGCTGGTTGGGAATCGAGGACTCCTTAAGGATGCACAGCGGTCAACCACTGGTAGACGTTTCACATACTCTCGGAGGAGCCGAGTACCAAAGTGATGAGAGTTACGTGGAGACGAATGAAGAAAGATTTTGAGACTTGAACAACCTAATTCAGTGACTATTCGAGCAAAACATGCTTTGGTGCCATATTCAAGTTCTGAAGATGAAAATGAAAACTTCCTAGGCGTAAAGAGAAGAAGAAGATGTCAGGTGAAGAAAGAAAATTGGGAATGTTCGAAAAATAAGCTCAACAGAGAAAAAGGAAGGGATTATTTAGGAAAGAAAAAAATAGATGTGTGGGTAAGAGATGTTGTTAAACAAAAAAGAAATATGAAACAAAGGTGTCATTGCCGACAAACTAAGAAAGGTAATTTGAAATGCGAAGAACTTTCTGAAACTGATGGAAAATCTACCTATATTCGAACATTTTTGGAAATTAAGTTGGATTGAGAAAGAGATGTTTATTGATAGTGTAGTGGCACCCACAAATAGACACAGGAATAGAAAACGTACAACAGAATCAAAAGACGGTCTTGTTCATTTTTCTTTCATCTTAAAAAGAATGATATAAGTATAAAGGTCTGCCAAACAATGTTTCTCAATACTTTGGGTATTGGAAAGTGGAGCGTTCATAATTGGAAGAAACAAATTTATAACATTCACATAATCAACCCCTTTCAACCAACAAAGTTAGCGTGAGTACAAATGTTCATAATAATCGCCCTTTTCTTGCCGAAAACCAAGCACTGCCGAAAATGGAGTCGCATTATTGCAGAAAGGATACCAAAAAGTTATACATACTTCCAGAGTGGACCAGTAAAAGAGCTCTTTATGATTTGTACGTATCAGACTGCCAAGCTAAGAACGTACAACATTTGTCAATCTGCAAGTTCAATAATAATAAATAATACAAGATGGAACATCTTGATAACGAAACTTTTAATACTTATATAGCTAAGAAGAACGAAGCTCGTGCCGAAAAAGCCAAAGACAAAGACAATGACTCCTATGTTTTTACCATTGATCTACAAGCTGTATTGAACGCACCACGTTTGAACGTGTCTAGCCTGTATTACAAAAACAAACTTTGTGTTCATAATCTGTGTATCTACAATTTGATCATGGTTATTGCTATTTATGGCATGAATGTGAAGGCGGCATAAACGCAGAAGAGTTTGCGTCAATAGTCTGTACATTTTTAAATGATAAGGTGGTTCCGGAAATGGATGACAAAAGCAAAAAGATAATTATATACGCTGATGGATGTACATACCAAAACAGAAATATCACAATGACAAATGCATTACTGAACCTAGCAATCTTACATGAAATTACCATTGAGCAATAATTCCTTGAGGTCGGCCATACTCAAATGGAGGCCGACTCAACGCATGCCCAAATAGAAAGAAAACTGAAATCACGCATCATAAACATACCAGCTTAATATGCTTAAGTTTGTAGGTCAGCTCGAAAACAGCCAGGGCCCTATGGTGTCAAGTATCTAGACCACACCTTTTTCAAATCATTTGACTCCTTGGCCTTAATAAGTCTGTACGGCTTAGAAAGAAAAAAGGGGAACCTAAAGTTACTGACTTACGAGCATTACGTTATACACCACAGGGCGACATATTTTATAAATTGCGGTTCACTGAAGACTGGACACTTCTTCCTCAAAGAAAAAAGCACAATATTCTTGCAAGAAGCATTCAAGATCTGCAGCAACTTCATGAACATCGATTAGCGGTCAAAGCAAGAAAGTATAAAGATCTTCAAGATCTGCTGAATGTTTTGCCGACAGATTATCATGAATTTTACAAAAATTTACCTCACGAATAATTAGAAAATAATTCAAAAACACAAATACACAGAAACACAATTTGAGCAAAACTAAGTTCACATATCTAATAGATGAAATATAACAAAAGAAAATAAAATTTAACAAATTGTAGACAAAATAGTTTGTATAGTCCCTATCTAACATCTTGAATATTTTTTCAAAACTTCGAATAACAGTGATTATAACTGTCTCGACTTATTATTTTTGAAAAATGTGTGCTTAATTCTTGAAGAGGTGCTATTGATTTTTTCAAAAGGTCCCTCCAAAAGGGCTTGAAAGGTGTATCTTTAAAAAATCATAACTTTTGTTCGCCATGAGTATCACGTTTTATAACTTTTAAAAAATGAACAAATCAAAATTCGGAAACACAGAGCGGCCTCATATTTTTATCTTTTGTTTCTCGATTACTGCAACTTTGAAAATTGAAATTCGACTTCAGCCTCTAAATTTCTAAGAATGAACTCTAAAATTTTGAATTTAGTAGTCGAAATTACACAAGAGACAACGTTTAAAGTATGTGGCTCTTATACGCTCCTGTAAAATAGTTATTAGTTTTATAGAATAGACAACGGCTTTTCTGGAACTAATATAAAAAAAAAGTAAAAAATGCGACCCTGCCAGGATTCGAACCTGGAATCTTCTGATCCGTAGTCAGACGCGTTATCCGTTGCGCCACAGGGCCTTGGATATAACATAGTGAAATAAATCGTCATCACTTTTGAATTTGTAATTAAGAAGAAATTCTTGAACAAAACTCCAATGTAAATTTGATTTTGAATGAATCATTGAAATATTAGTTTTAGAATGTACTAAAAGACAACTGTGCGTAAATACAATAAATACCGCATAGTAGTTGAATCTAGTTTGCCATGAACGCCCACATACATAACGGTGAAATATCCATTAGAAGCGATAGGTGGCGATACTCCTGCGTAAATAAAAACATTTCGTTCGACTGGAATCAGCTGTCTAGTCGTGTGGAGTAATTTTGAAGAGAAGTCGGTAATATCATTCTATTTCGGAGGAGAAATAATCAATAAAGTAGGGTGATCAATAATTAGTGTCCTAATTCCGAATTGTTCGTGGAAGTTGTAAAATGAATAGTCCTCATCTGTCCAGAGGTAAGTAAGTAGGTGTTTTCTATTTCTATAATATTTATTGGTAAAAGTGTATTGCATACACAGTACACCCACATACATATTTCCTAATATTCTCCGGTTTGGTTTATAGAAAAGAAATTGTGTTAACACTCAGTTTATAAATAGCGATGTAAATAATGACGTCAACCTTTGCTATTAATGGTTTGCAGTTCTAGTTGCAACGACTGCAATAATGAATAAGGATGGCCTTGTTTATAATTCAGTAACAATGTTGACATACCTTGGCTAGCAGGAACTTTTTATTATCCTTTATTGTGATAAAAACATATTGTCCGTGTGTTAATGAATACAAAAAAACACTTATAAAAGTGAATGAACATTTTCAGATTATAAAAGTTCGGAAAGAAAGGAGAGATCCTCATTTATTTAATTTGTGAAATAAATTATTATTTTTTCAAAAAAATAGAAATAATATGCGATGGTACAAAATAAAATAGAATCAATAATTTCGTTCTATAACCATTTTTTTCTCGTCGCTTTTTGCAGTTGCCTGACTGTATCATATTTTTTAGAATGTCGTAAGCTTAAAAAAATCTACAATCGAAAGTCATACCGACTATCGAGGTTCCCACAGAATTTCTTTTGTAATATTATTGTACAAAAACCCTTCAAGTTTCTTTAAACAATTCCAATTGTGACTAATAAATACAAATCATTTATTGATCAAAATTCAGGTCTTTATACTCCACATCACGTTTTGATATTTATTAATCAATTATTGAAATAATAACGAGGTAGAATGTGAAAAAACAGCAAATATTAGAATTGAAGGATTAATAGAATCAAATAAATATAGTTACCTACAAGCATTTGGTTCGAACGAATACACAAATTAATGTTGCACATCAATTTCAGCCTCCGGTAGTAGTCCACAAACTAATGAACTTGATGAACAATTGCTTTTATTTTTGAAATTCACTGATAATGAAAACCCGAAATTGGGTCGATTTCATGAAATTTGTCCTCCACTTCATTGATTATTCTGTAAAAATAGACTATGATATACATCGTCGCTTAATAGATAAGTTTAAAATAGACAAAAAAATCTAATCGAGTACTGAAAAATTCAACCAGACAACGTCTTCTACCAAATTAAACATTATTTCCCCGTTGACATTGAGTGCTTCTCACCAATAATAAAAAAATATGTTTCAAATTAATTTGATAAAGGAAATCACATTTTAATATCTGTAGGAAATCACCTCACTCTTTCTGCACACCCTGTTTTAGTAATTAGGTTGAGTCAAACATGACTCAACCTCTGATGGAAGGACCAAACTCTTACGAAGGTTCGACATAGATGAACACTTCATTCTAGCAGTTCACTGTGGTTCTGGCGTTGAATTTGGTCATTATTACGACTTGGTCAAAGACGAAACGGACTGGTTTAAATTTGACGATAGTCGTGTCACTAAGTGTTCTGGCGATTCATTGAATTTAGCGGAGCCTCTGGAAACACCATACATTTTGTTTTATGAGAGAGGATATTGGCAGGTCAAGATCTTCAGATGATGTGGTGCTGCAGGTTTTCCTGCAGCTGAAAAAGCAAATGCGCCACTGGAATCAATGAAGTCGCCCCGAAGCTCCAATTAATTTTTGTTGTTTTATAAATAATTTCATTTTCACCAAGAATTATTGTTGGGTGTTATTATAACAGGTGTTGTTGAAATTCATTGCCTCTTAAACCCGGTGCAAACGCCCCTACAATCAATACTCTGCAAATTATGTTGAATTTTTTGAGGTTGAGAATGTTGAGATACATTGTTACTTATGAGCCAGAGCAAAAGAGCGCCTCAATCTCGCACATAGGAGATAATATCGCTTCATAAGAGAATATATTTCAACAACCCCCGTACAACAACGCATATTTCCGGCGGGTTGAACTGAACGCCCGTCTGCACCGGGCCAGTGATGCCAATTCGCGAGTAATTATTACATTCGCGAGTATTTTCATCGACTTGCAGTGAAATTGCAGTAATGGAATTTTGCGAGTATTTATTAGTTTTTATGTAGATTCTGAGAGTGAGAGTAATTCATTTCTGTAATCGAAAATTGGAACAATGTTGTTGGTGTTATGTTATATGTATAGTTAGACAGAGAGTAGCCCAATGAATTGAGTTCTGTGGTGGTATAAGACGTTTCGTTTCGACATATTTCATTTAAGTGACACATGACACATGTGACATTTGATAAGATGACTGTAATAATTTAGAATTAAGAAGTGTCACATGATATGCTTGGGGTATTGAGAATTATTTAAGAAGCTTTCAAATGAGCTATCACTAGTTACCTTATTCCATTTAAGAGTTTTAAGAAAGTAGTTCCTGGAGGCAGAGCGTGAAAAGGAGCGAAAACAATTTTCGCTAAACACATTATTTTTTTTGTGATCCGAAAGTTTGGCGTATCTTCAGATTTTAATATATTCGACTTGGGAAGTTCTTGAATGAACACCCTGCCTAGAATATATATGTTGTAACATCAAAAAATTTATTAATTAATCAATTTTATAATGATGGTGGAATTTATATTAAAACATGTATTACTAATATTTATAATTTAAGATCTTTAGTAAAATATTGCAATAACTAGCTAAGGTTATTGAGTTTACTAGTAAATTGAAGCCAAATTTTTTTCATGTATATTTCAATTCTATATTTTTTATTAATATTTTAGTACCCAACAGTCATCACAGGGATCACAAAATATTATTATTGAAACGATATCACCAAGATCAGTTAAACACAAGACATACTCTTAATGTTATGTAAGATTTTATTAATCTAATAGTATCAGAATATATTAATTTTTGTTTAATTTATTATTTTTTTGGGCGAATAATGTTCTGTCCAATACACTTCTGTAACGTACTTAAGTTAGGTATCAACGACCTATTGTCACAGTAATACCGTCAGAGGGAACATCGAATATAACTATTACCGAAGTCACTGACTGAAACAATTGAGTTGCCACTATTTCAAATACATTTTTGAATTTTTAATTTTTGTATTTAATGAACATAAACGTTTAATAAATAAACAATAAATCATTTGGTGGAAAAAAATTGCAATATTTTATTTTTACATTGTGCCATATATTAGTTCCTGTCGTAATCTGTTCTTTTATGCCTATTACTTTTACAAAATAATTTCGATGTTTCACAACTGGCAGGCGTTCCGTGACGGCTCACAATTTTTTCGATAAAATGTGAAGTATATGTTTATCATTAGTTGTATCACTTTTCTTAGGTCACTGTATCCAAAATTAACTGTACGAAGATTTTAATAATTTGTAACTAAACTACAAGTATTTTGTTCCCAGGTTTGGGGTATTTTGTGCAATTTCCGTTGGCAGCACTGTCTGTAACGTACAGAAGATTCCAACATTTATACTAAGGCTCACGTGTGTGAAGTTATCAACAATCACAAAGTACACTGAGAAAAAATAACGCATTATTATTTTTTCATTTATCGACTCTGCACACCTACCATTTTTCAATATGATACGCTTATTGACTGAATTAGTGAAAAACAGAGCCGTCCTAGTTAATTAAACTGTCTGAAGGGGTGAAAATAGGGTGGAAATATTTTTAAAAATCGTTACATGAAAAATCGACTTTGTACACCTACAAAATTGTGATATGTTATTCCTGATGATCTATTCGACAGAAAAATCTTCACGTCATAGTTTTCCAGGCCGTCTGAGGAGGTGAAAATAGGGTGGAAAGTTGAAAAAATCGTATCTTCGAAAATTGAATGTGTACACGTAGAAGTTTGAGATATGTTATCCATGTCAATATATTCGACAGAAAAAAAAACATCACTTCATAGTTTTCCGGGCCATTTGAGGGGGTGAACATGGGGTGAAAATATCAAAAAATGTCTCAACATAAAAAATCGACTTTGTACACCTACAAAATTGAGATATGTTATTCCTGATGATCTATTTTACTGAAAAAACGTCATGTTATAGTTTTCCAGGCAGTCTGAGGGGGTGAAAATGGGGAGGAAACTTGAAAAAATCATATATTTAGAAATTGAGTTTGTAAACCTACAAAATTAGTAGATGTTATTCCTGATACCCGATTTGACGAGAAAAACTTCACGTTATAGTTTTCCAGACCGTCTAAGGGGGTGAAAATGGGGTGGAAAGTTGAAAAAATCGTATCTTTGAAAATTGAATGTGTTCACCTACAAGTTTGAGATATGTTATCTATCATGATCTATTCGTCAGAAAAAACTTCACGTCTTAGTTTTTCAGGCCGTCTGAAGCGGTGAACATGGGGTGAAAATATCAAAAAATGTTTTAACATGAAAAATCGACTTTGTACACCTACAAAATTGAGATATGTCATTTCTGATGATCTATTCGGCTGAAACAACTTCACCCCCTCAGACGGCCTGGAAAACTATATCGTGAAGTTTTTCTCGTCAAATCGGGTGTCAGGAATAACATATCTCAATTTTGTAGGTGTACAAATTCAATTTTCAAATATATGATTTTTTCAAGTTTTCACCCCATTTTCACCTCAGACGGCCTGGAAAACTATAACGTGAAGTTTTTCCCTTCAAATCGGGTATCAGGAATAACATCTCCTAATCTTGTAGGTGTACAAACTCAATTTTTGAATATATAATTTTTTCAAGTTTCCACCCCATTTTCAACCCCTCAGACGACCTGGAAAACTATAACGTGAAATTTTTTCAGTCGAATAGATCATCAAGAATAACATATCTCAATTTTGTTGGTATACAAACTCAATTTTTGAATATATGATTTTTTCAAGTTTCCACCCCATTTTCACCCCCTCAGACTGCCTGGAAAACTATAACGTGAAGTTTTTCTCGTCAAATCGGGTGTCAGTAATAACATCTCCTAATATTGTAGATGTACAAACTCAATTTTTGAATATATGATTTTTTCAAATTTCCACCCCATTTTCACCCTCTCAGACGGCCTGGAAA